GCAAGTGAAAAGGAACCAGCATCGAAAGCTAGTTTGGCTAAGTGGAGTTTTTGTTGAATAAATGATGCATAACATTGTGCAACAGAGTCTTACCAGCGTCTGTAGTACAGGTCTTTGAGAGGAACACTTCGTAATGCTGCGCCCAGCACCATGAAGAATGCTGACAGCAGCAGAGAAGCTCGCAAACCTTTGGCACAAGACAGAGAGGAAGGAAAGAAGATATATCAGAGAGATGTGATATCTTTTAAGCTTTGATTAACTGGTGAGATTAGTTGTTGATGTAGATCTATCCCCAAGATACCAGCAAATTATGCACGACTATCACGAAGATATTAGGATTAGAAAATCTTTTTTTTTAACCATCAAAAATAATTAAATATGATATATTTGTGACAAAACAAATGTTTGAATCCAAAAGCCATAATGAAACTCCATGAGCACTTTTTCTGGATTCATGCATAGGAGCAGAAACTTGAACTTTGGAAACATTTTTGAGTTTAATATAGAAACTCTGGCCTGTGGTTTTCACAGCCTGTGACAATCGCTTTCGTGTTGAGAACAAAAGGGAAGGTGAAATGCTTCCATTCAAGATAAAGAGCAACAAACGTGGTTGCAAACATTTACATAAGAGCATACCCTTTCTTAGCAAATATATCAAATAAAGTGCACTAATGTGTTAATAAACAGAACTGGAGTGTCGACTAGCTGTATAAGCTAATAGAAAAAGGAGTTAAAATGTGGAAACTGAAGACATTTGTTTGACATTATCAAGTCTTAGAGATAGCTGAAAATGCCTTATTTTCAGGCAAGATAACGTGAAAAATAGTGCGAAAATGTTAAAAACAAAAGCATCCTGTCCTGTTTGACCAAATGCTCTTTTCTAAATGCAAAGCATGTGAGTGAAAATGTCATTTTCGAGGCTCAAAACTGATTCCTCACAAGATAATCTTATCTAAGGACAGTTCACTTAACAATCACAATTCTCTCTCACCCTCATCTCCTCCAAAACGGAAATGCTGTTATTTTACCATATTAGAACAAATCATATTGACCATGTAATAGGCTAAACACTAAAAAAGTTGTCTATATTTAATCTGAAGACATACAATAGCTTTTTGTTAGGAAAAGACTGAAATCAAAGTCATTAATAGCCAAAAACATAGACAGAAACACCGGTTAGTGCTTCTCCAGTGAAGCGTTTCGGCTGTGTCAGCGCCGACTCTGTGCACACAGCGTGGTAAGTTAAAACAACATGTCATCAGCATGGCCTAACCCCACCGTAAGGATGGTAGCAATATGTAAAATTTGTTTTGCTGAATATCGAGAGATGGCTTTACTTTACTACAGTGTGAACATGACACCATCCTGAACAGCATACCAAGTTCAATTACCCAACTTTATTTTTGGTGTTGATGAAAATTTTCAGTTTTAGTTAAATATCCATGCATCACTAGAACCTATAGTTTTGGGTGAGCTCCAGGAATGTATTTATTACACAGATACTTTGTGGTCCTTTAGATGGTTCCAGACCAACGCAAGCATTGGTATAGAATCCATGATTTAAATACAAATATTAGAAATGTAGGTACAATATATCTCTTATATCACTGCTGGCAAACAGTGCAGCCAAATTCTCATGTGAACTTTATGAATTGAGATTCTCAGAAACATGGCTTTTCATATCACTGCTATGCTGATGACATGCAACTCTACCTCTCATTCCATCCTGATGATCCGACGATAGCTGCTCGCATCTCAGCATGTCTAACAGACATTTCTTGTTGGATGACGGACCATCATCTTCAACTCAACCTGGCTAAGACAGAACTGCTTGTGGTTTCAACAAACCCATCACTTTATCAAAATTTAGCCATCCAGTTAGGCTCATCAACCATAACTCCTTCAAAAACAGCTAGAAACCTTGGAGTTGTGATTGATGATGAGCTGAATTTATCAGACCACATTGCTAAAACTGCCCGGTCCTGCAGATTTGCTTTATACAACATTAGGAAGATCAGGCCCTTTCTATCAGAACATGCAAAACAACTCCTTGTTCAAGCTCTTGTTCTATCCATGCTGGCCTATTGCAATGCTCTCTTGGCAGGTCTTCCAGCCACTTCTATCAAACCTCTACAATTAATCTAAAATGCCGCTGCAAGATTAATCTTTAATGAACCGAAAAGAACACGTCACACCTCTGTTCATCAATTCGCAACGGCTACCAGTAGCTGCTCGCATTAAATTCAAGGCATTAATGTTTGCCAACAAAACCACCACTGGCTCTGCACCCATTTACCTAAATTAATTACTTCAGAGTTATGTGCCCTCTAGAAGCTTGCGTTCTACAAGTGAACGGCGTATTATTGTGCCATCTCAAAGAGGCACAAAATCACTTTCACTGACTTTGTCATTAACTGTTCCCTCCTGGTGGAATGACCTGCCCAAATCAATCCGAGTCCTTAACCATCTTCAAGAAATGACTAAAAACACATCTGTTCCATCTGTATTTGACCCTCTAACTCTAGCACTTTCTATTCTATTTTAATTCTACTTTATCTATATTTATCTTCTTTGTGTGTGTGTGTGTGTGTGTACAGGTTTATATATCCTTGTGGGGACTTAAATCTGACTACACACAGACTCATGGGGACTTGTGTCACGGTGGGGACCTAAATTGCGGTCCCCACGGGTACAAAAGCTTATAAATCATACAGAATTAAGTTTTTTGAAAATCTAAAAATGCAGAAAGTTTCCTGTAAGGGGTAGGTTTAGGTGTAGGGTTGGTGTAGGGCAATAGAATATAGGGTCTGTACAGTAGAAAAACCATTAGGCCTATGGAGAGTCCCCACAAGGATAGCTGACCAGACTGTATGTGTGTGTGTTTAATATATGTATGTATGTGTGTGTGTATATTAGTCATTAGTATTTAGTCAGCCACCAATTGTGCAAGTTCTCCCACTTAAAAATATGAGAGAGGCCTGTAATTTTCATCATAGGTATACCTCAACTATGAGAGACAAAATGAGAAAAAAAATCCAGAAAATCACATTGTAGGATTTTTAAAGAATTTATTTGCAAATTATGGTGGAAAATAAGTATTTGGTCAATAACAAAATTTCATCTCAATACTTTGTTATATACCCTTTGTTGGCAATGACAGAGGTCAAACGTTTTCTGTAAGTCTTCACAAGGTTTTCACACACTGTTGCTGGTATTTTGGCCCATTCCTCCATGCAGATCTC